TGGGGGGACAGGTGCACAGGGAAGCCTGCAAGATTAAAGGAGCTGCTGAGCAGCCTACTTCTGCCATGAATTTGGTAGGTCCCAAGTCACTGGGGCTAGGGACAGAAGTTACACAAACTGGTTTAAGTGATGGCCAAAACTGGTTTAAGATAACCTGGTTGAATGTAGTATTAGACTTAAATGATTTGGGTCAAACCGGTTTGTGGAACTTCTGTCCCAGACCCCTTCCTGGTTTAAGTTAAATCACAGTCCCCCGGCATACAAGCATGCTTTTCAGCCCTGAGCTGGGCTGTGCTCCCTGCTCCAAACAGCAGGCTGGCCCCTGCCTCTGCTCTCTAGCCAGAGCAGAGGCAGGGGCATAGCCAGATGCCAGCCCAACATGGCGCCCTAAGGTGAAGGGGGCAGGGAGGGGTTCCCCCCCACATCCTCATGCCCAGGGGACCACAGCCAGGGGCTGCCTGGCCAGGGGAGAGCAGCCCCACTCAGGGTCTTTCCCCCCTAACTGGTCTGTGTGGTGCTGTCTCAGTTTGGCTTGGCTCAGCCTGGGTGTAGGAAACCAGGAGCAAACTGGGCTGGGCTGTGGGGACAGAGCCCTTCCTAGCCAGCTGAGGCTCTGTGACAGCCCAATCCAGTATGCATGGGTGGCAGTTGGCCAGGCAGTGGCACAGAGGCAACATCATTGCAGCTGTGGGCAGGTACCTTGGCAGCTAGACTGGCCATGCAAAATGTGTGTGTGGCTGCCTGAGCTGGCTTGGAGGTGGTGGCAGGCCTGGAGCCTGGCAGTCACCTGCTATGGGGGCTCATGTGCCTGCAACCCCTGCACATTGCTTGCTTGTTGCAGGCTCCATGCAGGTGGTGTGGAAGTTGTGGGCACACAATCCCCTGTGGCAGGCATCTGCCAGGCTCCGGGCCCACTGGCACCCCTGTGCCCACCAGCAGGGCCCTTCCCAGCTGGCTGTGGCTCTGTGACATTCCATCCCATGCTAGGCACAGGGAGCAATGAGAAATCTCATTGCACAGCTCCTGCAGCCCAAGCCCAAGCCTCAGCCAGCTGGGAAGTGCCCCACCCCTGTGGCCCAGCCTGGGCCGGCTTTTCCATGCCCACCCTCAGCAGTGCCTGCGGACAAGGCCAGCCTGATTCAGTCCCTCAACGCCCACCCCAGCCTCTGGCTGGGATCTGCCCATGCTCCTGCTGCTGTTGCAGTGGGGGGTGGAGCTCTGTGCGATGCTGCCTCAGCACCCAGGCCCCAAACTGTCACAGAGGGCTCTCCCCCTTCTCTTCCTTCCTCATCTTGGGCAGGGTGGAGACTCTGTGTGATGATGCTTCAGGCTGGAATCAAGGCTGGAGGAACACAGTGCTAGGGCACAGCGGGGAAACTGGCCGCTGTGGGGTAGTGGAGGGGGAGAAGCTGTGTTCCCAGGTTCCCACACCCGGGCTGGGCTGGGCTGGGTTGTCAGGGAGCCACCGTGGCAGGCAGGGCTCTCCCCTCCTCCCCTGCCATGGCATAAGCGGGGAGGGTCTGACCATGCCCCTGCTCGTGCTGCTTGGTGCCAGGGGCCAGGGTCTGGCCACATTCCCTCCCCTATCCAAAAAGCCTGGCAAGGACTATTTTCCTCCTCCCTCTCCAGGTACACCTGGGCTGGGGTCCCTGCAGGCTGGGGTAAGGGTTTAAACCTCTCCCAATCATAATTAGGCGTGCCAGGACCTGGCCATGCCCTCCCCCTCTGCACAGCTTCCCTTGGCCACTGCTGAAGGGAAGGGAGGGCTTGCTCTAGTGCCCCCCAACTTCTGGCCTGAGTCACTGCAGGCATGTGCCTGCATTTCCAGAATCAAAAGTGAATGTCTGTCCACTTGCAAATTGGTTCAATCTACGCAGGTTAGACTAACCTGCAAAGATTGGATCAGTTCAGGCTCAGGTCTTTTGAATGTCTGTACTTAGCCTGGCTGTTCAAAATTATTCTTAATTCTGTTAGTGATAGTTACTATTATCAAGAATAGAAGTCTCTTCCTTTTAATACACTTCCTCTTAAAAGGAACTTTCATTGACTTTGCAGAAGAATGACATAGTGACTTTGTAATGGTGGTGTAGGGCTCTTGGGTATTCAATTCCCTTTTTAACCTGCAAGAAGAGACGCTGATCTACTTTAATGATAAAGAAAGAAAGCTAGTCTTAGTCTTCTGATTGGTTTCATACTGGTGAAGAAAGGTCATCAAAGATTTTTGCATGGACCATATGGGCCTTTTACATGTTTATCTTTTCCAATTACCATTATTTTTGATAGGTGCCTTTCTAGAGACTCAGAGAATTTGAAACTGTTTTTCAGATGTTTCATAGGTATTGGGTCTGATAGGACCCATTCTGTCAAGGATAACTTTCCTGTACTGAGGTGGAGTAACAAGTCCTTGGTCCTACTTTGGTCCCTAGTGGGCCTCTAGATTATTTTCTGTCATCTGCAGTATAGTTGCAAGTCATAATTGCCAGGGATTTATTAGAGTAATTATGATAGCAGCTCATTGTCTCTACAGGTTTTTATTTTATTATTAGAGATGCATGGTGGTTTATTCAGTTCAGCTTACTCTTATTCAGTTGAATGACAAAGAGATCCACCCTCAGTAATGTCCACTGATCCACAACTCTCTGATCAAAGATCATTCACGATCACCTGATTGACTATTCTGATTGTGAGCATGTCCCCTTTGATTTGTTTCCAGCCAATGAATCCCAGCTTATAGTAAAACTTATTTTTATTAGTTTTTGAGTACATTTTGTTCTACTGAATTTCATCCTAGTTCTGTTACTCCAGACATCAAAGGTATTCAGTTCCAAATAATCTCCCAATTCACTTCTGTACTTTGATGCAGACAACAGTAAAAGATATTTAAACATTAGTTGTGATTAGCAATTTTCATTAGTGCTCTTGTACTCAATGTTTCCAGGTCATCAGTGAAAATATTTAATAAGATGTGTCCAAAGACCAGTTGTTTAGAAACTCCACTAATAATCTCCCTCTAGCCTGATACTTCTTCAGTTAACACAATGTGTTATCATTTCCTTTTTAACCAGCCCTTTACCAGCTCTAGCTCATCTATTAAGTCCTATCTTCCTCAGCTGAATTAATATTTTCCCATATGGTATTACGTCACAAAGCTTTATAGAAGTCTACATAGATTCAGTCAATTACAGTTCCTTTCTCTAGTAAATTAATTATTTCCCCAAAGAAAAAGAAGAGTGTTATCTGGCTGGTCTGCCTTTGTTAAAAATATGTTGTATTTTATCCCATTTTCTAATTACCTCATGTCTTTGATTATTCTTCCCTTATTTTTTTTTCTAATGGCTTACCACTAGGTTTGACAAAAGGTGTTTGGATCACTTTTTTTATTCTTCTTAAGTATAAGAGAACATTTATGAACATTTGTATTCTTTCAGTCCCAGATATATCACGTAAAAATCCTTGTTACTGTAATTAGGATTTTGTATGCCAGTTCTTTCACAATTCTGGAATAATGAGGTTCTCTCAAAGTAATCATATTAATCTCTTTTTGTTTTGTATCGACTTCGGATGTGGTGATTTTCATTTTATACATTCATTTTAAAAACTCTTCCTACCTTGTTCCTTCCCTCTTGACTCCCAACCTTTGCCATCATTATTCTTATTGAAAACTGAGACAAAGATTTTGGTAGATTTTTAATTTCAGTCTGGATTCAGATTTTTAATCTCAACCTCATCCTCATTGAAGAGTAACTCTACTTGTTCTCTCCTACTTCTCTTACTTATGACTCAAGAAACTTTTAATAGTTTTATTAAATATCTCTTGCAACATCTAAATCACTTGACTTTTGGAACATCTCACTTTATGCATCAAAAAATGAGCTAATGACTCCCTCCCCCTGCTTTTTTTTTTTTTTTTTTGCTGCATGGCCTCTGCTTATTCCTAGTGACCTAGTATCCTTTTTGAGCTGCCCATTTACTTCATTAAATCTTGACACTTTCTGTACAAGTATAGATTCATTCCAGACAGTTTTCATACCTACCTATGCATGAATAATTGATTTTCCAGTGAAATATACATTTTAAAAATGAAAATGTTTGTTTGGAGTTATTTGGAGGGGTGGGGGTGGACAAGGTGAGTGAATGGAAACAATGTTGTTCCACTTTAAAGGAAATATTTTGTTTGGTCTGAAACAAGCAAGCAAGATCCACTGTGACCAATTCAGGCTGGACATAAAGAACTTCTTCACTGTCCTCTGGGGTCATTTCCAGCCCAAATGTCTATGAAATCTATGAAAAGCAAAAAAACCCACCTTTCAATTTTGACCACATTTACCATTTTTATAAATAAAAGCAAAGAAAATTTGAAAGGCTAGATTCTTGATAGGAATTATGTACCATATACAAAACTAGGGAGGAAGAGGAGAGAGTGGCTTCCTTCTATTGCCTCCTCTTCTACCTGCTCTTTGTGAATGGTGTCCAAGTCCTCTTGCAAATCAGATACAAATTGTTGACACATTTCATTTCATTTAGGCACTTCCAAAGTTTTATTTTCTTTTCCATTCTTTTTCATCCAAATTAGTTTTGTGAAAAGTGTTGAAAAATCTCAGAATGAGACTTTTTTTTGAAATCTAATGTTAAGGGCCTGACAGATCTAGAACATACTATCCCAATTTTACAGGAGCTGAAATCAAATGCCGGTGCCCTTCTGTCATATATCTCTCCCCACCCCACCCCCCCTAGCTGCTAGCAAATATCAGAATAAAGAGGCATGGATATTTCTGTGATATGCTTATCCTCAGCTGCAATTTGTGTCTTTGTGGCCACTGTCATCAAAGGCAGGAGTGCACAGAACAGCAAATATGAACATTACCCTATCATTCTATATAGATCCCTTATTTTCTGCCCTCAGTGCATTTTGCTTCCACCCAGAAACCTGTCCTTTTCACATGTGAACATGTTCTGCTTTTGTGCAGTTGGTCCCTAACTCCATATTGCTTCTCTTCCAGGTTCACTATCTCATGGTTTTGTCTGCTAATTGGGCCTACGTGAAAGATGCTTGCAGAATGCAAAAATATGAGGATATTAAGTCAAAGGAAGAACAAGAGCTTCATGACATTCATTCTACCCGTTCTAAAGAGCGGCTCAATGCATACACATAAGAAAAACCTTGTCTAACTTGCTAACATTTGAATGCTTTGCTGTTTAACTAAAGGCCATCCAACCATTTTAAAAACAAAGTGAAAGTGCTTCTCACAAAAGATAGCCAGGGTGACTTAGAAGCCACCCATGTACAATTCTTGGTTGTCAAGCACTTGATTTCCTAATTAGTTATAGTTTGTGTGACCATTCTTTACTACAAAGCTCCTAAACAGCCTTTTCCTGAATCCTCTTAAGCTAATTAGTTCTGTTAGATCAAGGATACTAACTATTGTCAAATACGGAGATGTGTTTGATTTTTTTAATCACTTTGTATGTGTTATGCATAACACCTTTTGCATTGTTTCTTATATGTTTTTGAAAGGAAAAATAGCTTTTTATACTTTTTAGTTTTAAGTTCAATAACTAACTACAGGTATACTTCAAAGGGACCATTGTACAGTATGTACAATATATATAGAGAAGACACTCTGATGACTTTCCTTCATATTTGGATATCTTACCAGATGGACCAGTAACAACCTTGACTGCAGGTCCTAGAATATTTTAAACAATCAAAGGTGCAATTTCTAAATTTGTAATAGTAGGTAAAAAAATTTAAAAAAAATAAAAGTGCTTCTTAACTTTGTTAACATTGTATTATTCTTGATGTTCTTAAAGAATATTCTCTCTCAAAGTTTTATCGGTGATTATTCCTGTTTATATTGTGAGCATGCAGCCCGTGGTGTTAATGATGCATGGCTATTTGCCTGTTTAAAGGACATGATACCACGGTTATCTTTAAAGAGTTTCAGTATATAGACAAATGTTAACTAAGTGATATCGCTATGCGTAGGTTTGTGCAGAATGATTTCTTTGTAATTCAACAATGGTTATGCGGAATTGGAACTGTTCATGTGCTGATGTGAGCAATTACTGTTTAGCTACATTTATGAAAGTGATATATCAAAAATACAGCAAGCTTACAAGTCAGAAGTCTTTTTTACCTGCTTTAAAAATTTTAATGGATTGCACCTGCCTGGACTATAATATACTGTATGTGATATATTCAGCGATACTTCCATAAATGTAATAGCTTGGCTTATGGCTTTGCTACACATACTGGTTTACCTGTATTATGTTAAAGTGAGGTAAAAGGCCACTACAGATCTTATTGTTTGAAAGTGTAGTAATATATTTGAACCTTTCTTTTGGCTAGGAAAATGTTATCAGAAAGGTAAGTCATGTTATTTTGAAGAAAGTACCTGTATCAAAAGAACAAAAAATGAAGAAAAAAATGTACAAAAAGAAAAAAAAATAGCAATCAGTATTATTGGACCAAATCTGGTGTCTTTTTTTATTTTTATTTTTTGCCTATTTCTAATGCTACAAGAATGCTGTAAAGTGTCTTTTAAAGTGATGTAGCCTGACAAGACATTTTTGTCAGTGTTAAAAATCCTAGGTAGTTTTGTGCACTTAATGGACCATTGTGAATTCTCTCTCAGTGTAAGTGCATTTCTAATAAAGGGTACTGAGTAAAACTCTTATTTGTACTATTACTAGTCATGCATCATCAGTAATTTTTAACAATTCTTGTAGTAAGTAGAAGGTAATTCAATAGTTATTTGTGGCATGGTTATGCATTAAGTAGCATTAGTTGATTAATTTGGGGGGTTTTGTTTGCGATTTGGTTTATTTTGTCTGTTTGGCTTTTTTTTTTTTTTTACTTAGATTGTCTTACTGGGTCAACAGTTTTCTGATATGTGCAGTACCAATATTACAGTTCTGCAAAAAGTATTATAAACCTTCTTTGATTCTATATTGTAGTGTTTCAGTTTTGTGTCTTAAACAGTTTGTGCTGATTTTTAAAACTATGTCTTTTAAACTCATGTAATGATGTTGATGCTTTCGGCTTTTCTCTGGTATTAGAGTTTGTATTTTCACAAAGAATGCTTTGTAGCAGGCATTACAATTAATCTGTTTTGTACATAAATGTGCCAACAGCTTGATGGTGGCGTTTTTGAAATGTAGAACAAAGTGCTTGCAAAAATGTAATAAACACACTTGTGTACTTTGTGTATGTATTAGTTGTTCTTGTTGTGTTTTTTCTCTGGGTATACTGTATAAATTATTGAAATTGGAGATGGAAGAAACTTGGTAGATGTACTCTTCTCTGCCTGCCACTAGAAGCCCATTTTCAATAGTGTATTTTTAACTTGGCTTTGTACATCCTGTTTCACATATCCTAGGCAATGTTTCTCTTAGCAGAAAATGAGACCACATTTAATCAAAACTATCAAAAGGGAGTTAGAATAAGACAGAGCTATTATGTTAATATTGTTCAAATATAAAATATGTCCAGATTAACCTTGTGATAACAAAAGTCTTAATTTAGTAGAATAAAGAAATTAAGGCAATTTTCCTGTCTCCCTGCCTGGGAGAATCCTACTTGTAGATTAAAATTTGGGAACCTCTGTACTAATGTTATGTACAGCCTACTGGGGTTGAATGTTAAAGTAAAACTGCCTCATCTAATTCACAATCAATAAAGATAATCAATTAAAGTATCCATTGATAACATGAATTTCTTATTCGGCATTTCTTTGATGCTTTACTATAATATTTTCTATGTTCATGATCAACTTAGAGGACATCATGGCAAGCAGGAGGAATATAAGATGCAGCTGAGCATCAGGAACTCGAGACAAAGGAGTTAGTGCTTCCTACACCCCATCAAGCATAAGTGAATAACTTTTAGGTCAGTAATCATTTAATTAACCCTGACTTTTCCTCATTATGCAGTAGATGCTCTAAAGTGATGTGTCTACGTATTGATTCCATAGCATTGATTTGTATAGACACTTCTCTGCTTAATCTTAAAATGTGATAAATCAGCCTTCTGAGGAACTGGATTACCAATATTAATAGCTTTATTTAAAGCAACGTAATGTTGCTATATAAAACGACTTGATTGTCACTAGGTATATGAAATCCAAGAAGAGGCATTTGACATGATTTGGCCAAACTGGGCTATGCTTAGAAACGTTGATTGCATCAATTAGCAGTGCAAAACACCATACTGCCTATAATGTAATCTGCTTTCAAAAGAAGGGGCTGCATCCTTTCATAGAAATCTTTTAAAATAATTTATGTATACTTCGTAATAAATATTTTTAAATGTCTCTTTTGTTCTGAATTACTTTCAAGAGCTATACAAAGTAAATTAGTGCAGGAACAGCCTTTAACTGCTAAAATGGATGTGTATAGCAGAGATGTACTTTGATTACCTACACTTTATATGCTTTGACAATGCTGATCTTTTGACATCACTATAAAATGTTTCAGGGAGTAGTGTATGCCCTGAATTAATTTGTTTAAAAGTACCAGTGGGAAAGATATCAAATATGAATAAGACACAAGGTACTGAATTAAAACAAAATCAAGTCTGAGTTGAAGAGAAGTGAACATTTTTCCAGGTTATTTTATACAATAATAAAATCAGCTCATTCATTATTTTGCTTTGGCATTTCACATAGGAATAAGAAAATCCCTTTAACCTAATGGAAAATCCATTGATTAAAACATTGATCGAATATCGCTATGGTTAACATTCAGTTGCTGTAGTTACAGTAGGTCCTTGGGACAAAGAATTTGTGTACATGCTGTAGTAACTAGTTCTTATATGGGGTTTTTCATTTTTAGATTACCACAGCATTTTACACATACTCAGCATTGTACTACTATGTATGTACATAAATATGCTCTTTTTTTCAGTTGGCCTCACCGTCACCATCCACATTGTGGCAGGTGCCCTATGTCACTGCTGCCCAGGATATGCATGCCCTGCTATGCTTCTGTCCTCTTGGTTACTAGAACGCACAGCAGGCCTGACCTGGAGAGGGTTGAGGTTGGAGATCTTTCCACTCTGTGCAGTAGGCAGCAGCCAACTTCCTCCCAGTGTAACTTCTTTTTGCAATGTAGTCCTCTCTAGCCAGCTAGCCTGGACCTGTGCCCATATACATTCTGGGCCCTGTATAGGTTTGTAACACCTGCTTGGAAGAGAATTAAAACACCTAATAAATAATGTTTGACTAACCTGAAAAGAAAAATGTGAACATTGTCAGTAATAAATTTGTTTTATTTTTAAGTTTTACTAAAAATTATGACTACTTTTGTCTACCAAATTCTTAGCTATCTAGACCTAAAAAAAGCAAGTTGGGAACATACTGACAGCCTCAATTCTTTGCTTTTATCAACTTATTTCTGAACCTTAATATTAGTTGAATATAGCTGTTGCTGTGCATGTTAATATAAATGTAAATAAAAGGCACCTGGTTGTTGAAGCAGTGTTTTTTTATGTCCTCCAAACAACTTGAAGAAAATATTAAGTACTAGAGTATGACATATGGCAAAATTAAGAATTAATTGATGTTTATAAAGATATTGCTGAGTAGTTCCTTTTGCATTTCATCTTAGCATTCCAAATACAGTTCTTTTCCTTTTAACTCATTTTCACTCTCATGCTGCAGCTTTTTGAAAGTAGTTAGGAGCTCCTTTCATTTTCTTATTCTTCCCTTGATGGTTCCCTTCATCATTATTCCCTTCCCTGAGTTTGAGAATTACTACACATGGTTTCTACCTTCTGAGAGTCAGTCACCTCTGCTCCAGTTGTAACAGATGACGGCCGGCACAAAGAATAAGGTTAACTAACTCTAAGGAAGCTGGAAGCCATATCCAGTAACTTTCTTCCGCAGTCACTTATCAAGCTTGTTTGGACATGTTCTCAGCCTCATTACCCAAGTCTGAAGAATAATCTGATAACATTGACTTCAGTACCCTGTGAAGTCTGCTAATTAAGGGAAGCAGTCATAACATTTTTGTATTCTCTTTTATATTAAATTATAAAGACAGCCAATTAAAGTCAATGCATAAAACATGGAAAACCTGGGAAGGCCAAGTTTACATGCAAGCAATGAGAGGTTAAATTAAATCTTATGTAGCATTTGCAATTTTTGTTATGTATCTCAATTGTGCAAATGATGTACTATATTAAACATGTGCTTGAGTATTTGAATAAGAAGTTCT